TACAAGGTCTTGTATTTCTCACTGTGGTAATACACCACCCCAGAACTCCTTATAGCTAGAACTGATTGTTTGTTACCACTGATCCTTAATTGAAACAAGAATTGGTTCCAAACATTTTAGCATCATATTACGCTTAAGTGGCGTGACGTCATTATTCCGTCTTCGACAACCTTTTGTGTACCATATTTTGCGAAGTTCAAGTTTTCGGGGAGCAAATTGAACATTCAAATGGTGTTGTGTTTTGCAAAACGGTTATGGTACGCATCTAAACAACAACTTTCCGTATGTAACAAAAATGTTATCATCTGACGTCATAGACATCTGACTCGTTGGGCGAATGGATATGTTTCACTTGCGTTAAAATCATTGTGAAAAAAATTCAATACGCGTAATGCACTCAAGCAAACTTAGACATATCAAATGGACGCATTATCTGTATAGCATTACCTGTGCATTATACATGTATATCGTTATCGGTACTTTTGTCTTTAGAAATAACAGTTCATGTGAGTCTGTACAGTATATGTAACGGTTCCATCCATCTGGTGAAATTCAAGTCACGATCACATTTTGTTAAGAAAAAAACACGTGTTAATCAAATTTAATGCAATTAAATTTTAAACCAAGCACTGAATGAAATCCATTAGCGACACGAAATAAATTCTAACGTTGTTGTAGGCCAGCATACAAATAATTAACGTGTTTATCGCCGTAAAAACCATACAGCGACAGAGAAAGTAATGCCAAACAATACGGTCACGGAGGCATCGCCGAGGACAGATGGCGCCACCACCAATAACACTGGGGTACTCGCCGCATGTTCCTTCCCTATAGTCTATGCATTTGACAACAATGAGAAATATGGGAAAGGAGACAATATTTACATAATAACAGATACATTTTATTGATTTTTGTTGATGCTTTCCTGGTTTGAAATGCATTACTTCGAGTTAAAACAACACTTTTATATACTTGTTTCCAAGGTGTTAGCTTCGATGTATATATTTATATAAATTTATTGCTCATAAAGAAAACACATTTATTTTGTATTTCTTAATGTCAAGACAATCGATGTCGAAACAAACCAGGAGTATCAATGACGTCGATTGTTTGTTGTTTAATTTTCACACAAAACCTTGATCTCCGATTGATCTGTTCAATGTGAAAAAAATAGCAAAAAGTGTTACTTGTCATAATAGAAAAATATCAACTATATTTTCATTTTAAAACCTTATGTTTCACTGATAAAAAAAAATCATTCTTATTGTATGTTTGTGAGTTCTATATTTTTCACAATTAAGATTATTTGGCTCATGATCTATATTCTTAATGACAATCATTGTATGTCTTGTTCATCGGGCCCTTTTGTTTCCATGCATTGACCTTAAACCACAATTTCATTTGGAACAGACAACATCGAAATATTACTTCGACTTCGTTTTCTTGAAATTAACAAACCAATTTACATCAGCAATTGAAAGGAGGAAGTGGCTTGTTCATTTCACTCAGAAACCAATTGAGTTAAAGAATATCAAATAGTTGACAGCACAAATGAGGAAACTTTAATTAAAGAATGTAAGATACTGTAACAGACGTTCCATGTGGCATGCCATACGTTTTCTGAAACCTCTATTAAATAATAAGAAAAGAATCACCGATTAACAGTATTTACGATGTTAAGTACCCTAATTCATTTAAACATCAATTAAAACTTCATGTCTCACTCTTAATTTTGAGGAGATATTCTAGATTGGCACGTTCACGATTATTTTTTACAGTTAATCTATTATTTTAAAGATAAGACTTTTGACTAAAGTCAGAGCATAACAAATTACTAACCTTTACTATATAAAGGCTTCATCAAGAAACATTGATAGGTAGCTCGCTATTTCATTAGTTTTATTAAATTTAACCGGTACGTTTCTTGACGAATTTTATCGTTATTACATGCACTTGGTAGGTGATGTTCATATAATCCAAAAAAAGGTTTTTATTTACTTCTTCGGATTCGGAGTGTTTTTGTCAATTCCACATGAAAGGTGAAATGATCCCTATCCTGCTGAAGGTAACACACCAGAGAATGTGTCTGATGTTTCGTATAAACAGTAACCTCCCCTTCAAATTCGTTTCAGAACTGCAGTGCAATTGTGCCAGGGCATGTACGTGTACGTTGACCAGGCAGTTCAGTTGGTAAAGCGACAGTATGACAACCTGCATTCCAGGGTTCGAAACCAGGTCTAGTCTCTTTGATTTGTCTACACTCAGAACACTGTGATTAGGTTTCTTTGTTTCATCTTTGATATTTTTTTCATAAAAAATCCCATAAGACAGAAATGATTCCAATTCATAGTTATTGTTTTAGAAGAGGCACGGGGATCCTTAACAGGTGGTTATATTTCGAAGGTACAACCTTGAGCATTACAGACTCCGAATGTGCAAGTGTGCTAACTGTCAACAAATACATTAGTCATCTGCATATTGAAACTTATTGGAGTGAACTTGGACCGAATATATCGTCATTTGGACAGCGAATCTTTTTTACCTTTTACATGCACTGGTTCAAATGAGAAGTGAGTAACAGGTTTGATAATAACAAAATCCTAATCTACAATGATGAACGAGAAGCAACTACCAATGTTAAACACATGAAGCAATCGGAGACCCAGTGGCTCCAATACAGTGTGCATATCTCTGATCCGTACTCCCCAGATATCATCAGCATTCCAGGAAGCGTTGGTAACGTGTTACAATTTCCTGTTTAAACCGGAAGTAGACAAGCAATTGAAAGCAAGCACATGTCTCTACACCTTCGTGCTGCTACTTATCCTAATATTATCGGACATCGTATCTTACCGTAAACAGGTCGTGTTCAATATCTTTTCAGTGGAGCTTTGATAATTTAAAAACGTGTGAGTTCTCTCTTTAGAAGACATACAAAAATACAGTCCTGTAGCATGAATTTCGTTTCTCAATATAATTTTACATGTATATGCAAATTCTGGAAATTTGAGAATGAATAAATAAATAAATATACAGCATTTGATATAGCGCCCTATCTAGCTAACATAGATATATAATTACAAATGTAATACAATTAACATAACATTAATCAATACGATTTTTGAACTTGCTACTAGTCCTATGCCACCTGGCTAATGCATATATGTACTTCTCTGAAGGTTTGAAGGTATTTTATTGTCCGAATAACAATTATAAAGTTAATGTTTTTAATCAGCCATTAGTCCTAAGTCGTAGACCTGCTACAATAAGAGTTGAACGAGAGACGTTGCCATTGAATGATTAATGTTTAAGGTCAAGGGCTACAGAGAGGTTGACCATTGTGTTTAGAATTGATGGTATTTGTCGTCCAGATGTTTGGTTACCGTAGATCTTGAATTCGAGGCCAAGACAAGGCATGGATCATAAAACTGTGTTCCTTCGTCATTTTTGTATATATGTTACGCACACATGTATTTTTTTTTATCTATTCCGTACTGTCAGTAAGGTACATTTTTACAAGTGATCGTTAGATCATCGTTTTTAATAGTCTACAGCATCTTGCCGTCACGAAAAATACATAATTAGTAGTGTGGTAATTGACGTCATATATATCTTAATTGGACACGGCCATTCTGAGAAAACCAGCGTTAGACTCTAAGACAGTATCACAGACTATGAGACACGTTGCTTAGCAACAGTGAACATCATTTAAACTGTAGCCAGGTATCTGGTGACAAATGTTTGATCTGAATATGAATATATCACTGTGTACTTTAAGATATGAGTGACGAAAGCATCAAATCTAAGAAAAAGCACGTAGAAAAGCATGATTTATTACAAAAAATGGACAGAAACATATTTTGAAACTAATTGCTACAGTGGAACCGTGCCATTGAACTCGGGGAGAATCGATAAAACCTCGCAAGTAGTTCGTATAAATGGTGCAAGTCTTGATTTTAATTAGCACGAAAATCACCAGCATGATACAAGATACACAAATGTATAATCTCGTCGGTAATATATCACGTAAATAACGATAGGTAAAGGAGAAGGCAAGGGAAGGGGATGATGAGAGAGGGGGGAGGGAAGAAGAAGTAGACATATCCTTTTTCAATGTAACCTTTATTTTATACTAAAGATACTTTCTAACAATTTTTTCACACAGATACAGAACTGAAATAATTGGTAATGAAACTAGATTAAATATCGACATCCTAGTACAGAAACACCCCTGTAACATAAATTTTCTCTCGTCGCTAAAATGCCTCCTGTCAATTAATGCTGCCGTTAGGTTGTTTTGTTCGTTATGAAAAAGAAAATTCTCCAATTTTCATTCTAACGAAGCCATTTAAAACTACATCGATAGTTTTCAAAAGACGTAAAATATCTCTACAGCTTCTGCAACTTGAAGCAAGATTCGCTGAAATATAGAGGGTTCTAAACACCAATTTTTCATAACCTGTTCATACAATATATACAACAGACAAAGACACCTATATGTATCCATTATATTGTTATTGTTTCTTTGCAATAACATACACTTATGACAGATTTAATGTCAGATTTGAAAATAAATACAAAAAGTCGTTTCGCAACCACAGCAGCCTGCGCAGGTTACGTACGATGTACGTTAACAGTGGGTACCCGGTTAAACTAAGGCAATTTTCTCTGATAGCAATTTAGCAGAAATTACTTAGTAAATATTTTATAACAAACCATTCCAAGTGGTAGTAGTCTATACTTGTTAAATGTAATAAGCACCTGTTTTAAACAGTAAAACTGAGTGCAGCGGTACCGAGGTACACGTATAGCGCCCCCTACTACGAGCTATTGATGCGAGATTTAATTAACGCTATAAAGGTAACTCAGTTACCTACATATGTATATATCAGAAACATTCATCGAGAAAATTAATTTATATAGGTAATAAAATTTACAAAATATCATTATGATTAACAGCAAGGTCAGTCTTTTAATGTTATCAATCTCTCTGATGACAGGTCTGTTGCCACGTGAGCACGCGCCACAGACTAGTAACATGTACCTGCCTCATCACAATGTAACAGCAAGATGCTGGATTCAGTCTCCGCAACAACTCCCGTGGACACGTACCACACACGCGCCTCAGTTCCTCTGCGTGCTGCGCCCTTCGTTCGACGATTGAGAGTGCAAGCCATGTACATAACACTAATTTAAATGGACATCTATTACATGTGTGATTTGTTGGATTCGGAATTCTTCTAAGGAATGGATTACTAGGTTGTGTGCTCATTTAATACCTAATATGGATGTCAGGGGAAATGTGTATATATAAACGTGACAAAGTCCCGTTTGGAGGATTGCGCAGAAAGTGGGTAAGTTATATTTTTATATTTTTTCCAAACTGCAATTTCGTCACAAAAATAGTTTATCATGAATTAAGATAATGCTCGAACTATAGATTTTGTTTTTGTTGCAACACTAAAACATTGAGATTGACCGTTAATCTGTTGAGTATTTATGAGAATATAAAACCGTTGCACATTTCCACTGTCAGCGCAATGCTGTTTGTAAAGATAAACACGTGTCTATACATGTGTTGTTCGTTTTATATAACAAAGACATTTCTTCAATTCTCGTTTTATCGAAGTCATTTTAAACTTCATCGATATTTTTCAAGATATATAAAATATCTCTTCAGCTTCTCTAACCTGAAGCAATATTCGCTAAAATCCGGCCAAGGACGCGGGATTGGATGCTATCTGCGAGTGTGGTTTTGTTTCCCTTAGCCTTGACACTTTAAATCTAAGATATTCCTATAGAACAAAAAACCGAAGGAGATAAACACACCATTTACTGACAATTTACTTGATTATCGCGACGACGAAATTTATTGATCTTTTTGTTTTTACCATAAGTGACAGGAAGACACCCCGCTTACATGTATACCTGTAATAAATAGGACGGTTTTTTCTTTGTGGTGTTGACTGACTGGCAGGTTCTGTCACCTGATATTGTGTAATAAATTCTGCCGTTATGAATTATTGAATTAAAAAAAAAAAAAACTTAAAATTTAACTGACACACCAGATCTTCAAACTTACACACCGTGCATCCTCCGCTCCCTCTCTACCACTGGAAACAGTATCGAAGATGAATTTCGGATATTTCCATGTAGGTCATACTTACATATACCAACCACTATTCATATTAAATGAACTACTGGGGGAAATTAGCGCATAAAACAGCATTATACTACCAATTATATGTTGATATAATCTGATAGAGTGAATTTTACGGTAGAATAGAGCTGGCACGAAATGGGAACGGGCTTCAGCTTCATGAATATGCAACATTTTGCACAGTGACTGAGTAAAACTTTGTAACATTGAAATGGCGTGTTTTGGCAGAAAACGGAGAGCATGTCTGCATAAAGTGAACACATTTGACGTTTAGATATAGAATATTATCGAAAAAAAAAAATGCATCTATCCAAAAGTACAGTGTAATGAGCATGCTTTTGTATGTCCACCAGCAACGTGAATTGTGACACAATACATTTTGATTTTTCTAAAGCGAGAGCTTTCTACTCTTGCAGTATATGCAATTATTAGGGGTGGGGCATTATCTAAACCCTTTAAAACATTTACAAATTAATCTGGGCGAAATTGATAGGTCCCAACAACCATACAATAACAGATTATCATGTCCCTATGACAGGTACGTTTGAATATAAGGACGTTACTGGAACTAAGTCTTCGGATTGGTACGAACCATACTCGGCGATCTGTCATTGTGGCTATTTCACATCGAGGAAATAGCTTACTCTATATACAATGTGATGTAATTTGCTTTACGATAATGCTTGTGTATTTATTGTGTGACCCATTGCCTAACTTAATCGGGTTGTACCGATTAACAAAACATCATCAATCACAATTTAGGCCGTATGTTTATTTCAAATATTTTTTCTAGTTGCTTGTATTAGTGAAAACTCGAATTCGAAACTTTCACAAGAAATAGTATCCATCACGCCGGCCTCATCTCACACCACCATGGATCCTTATCCTGTAAGACGTGTTTGTCAACTGATCATGAATAAATAACAACGAAGTAATTCAATATAAAATAGGAGTTTCTTTTGATTCTAACATAGCTGTAATTCGTTTCCTGTCTATCTAATTCAAAACCAATGCTAAAAAACACCTAAGCAAAAAATGAAGTGGATGATCTCTTTGTCTACTATTGAGCACACATGTATTACATCTTCATTCTTTGTCACAAAATACATACATAGACCTGTGCAATGGCGCAGGTCAAGCAGACCTCGCTGGTAGGGGAACCCCCAACCCTTGGAAAGCTTGACTTGCGGCATTGCACAATGATTTTAAATTTCAAGTTTTCATGCCTTTCTATAAACAGTAATGCAAATATTTGTCAGTATATTTATTCTGTTTTATTTTGATATCTTTGAAAATAGCTACATGTATGTAAAAAATATTCTATAGTTTGCTACTATAAGAAGCTCTCTGTCAATATAAAATAATTATTATGTATGTTGTATTGTTTTCTATAAAGGAAATACAATTTTACTGATCAATTATCAAATTTGATACACACATATCCTATTCTGTGCTATCTGAACCGCTACCGGATTGATTTTCTTACTTTTTTTCTTATTTTTCTTCCATTTTAAAGGACCCCATCGGATTTAAGCCACTTTGTGGCTTTTATGGGTAATCCTAGGTAAATGGCACTCACCACCACTCATATTATGGGACCTATTTATTTATAAATACCTTCATTTACTAAAATAGTCCGTCTCATTTTATAGTAATATCTGCCTTTTTTTTTTTTACAGTATATCAGACTTTTCTCTTTTTGTTTTTTTAGATTTTTATACTTTGTGATACATGTCAATGATTGGATTAAAAAACCTTTTATTAGGTCAGATCTATTATTATTCTCAGTCTTAATACAAAATTGTGATATCTTGAAATAACATGCCTATTTTACCTGAATAAATATTATTATTATTATCTCAATAAATGGTAATTATACGAAACTGCGAGTGCGCCAGTTAGTGGAGTGACCGCCAGTGTTTCCCGTAGTCCTATAACGTGGTATGCAAAGGTCACAGTTCATGTAGCTCTTTTTACTATATTTGTCTACATAAATCTGAACCTGGAAGCTTCCAACATGTTCTAGTTGTGATACGTCACATTTCAATATAATGACCATTTTTTTTATAATCAATTTTTCTGCAGCGGCGTTTCTCTAACGTCGGAAAATCGATGTTTTTCGAATTGGGTAAGCGCTGTAATCACCAATGTAATCCAAAGATGTTGAGATGAAAAAGTTTGAAGTTTGAAATTTGAAGCTGAGCCCGAAATACATTAAACCTCAAAACTCCTGGTTTACATGGCCAATGGCGTACGCCTACGCTGTCTACCTAAGACACATTTCAGTTTATAGATTCTTTTGTAATTACTTTTTTTATGTTATTTACACAAATCAAAATGGACACTAGAGGAGCTAGAAAATAAGATTGACATTTAAATAAATATCCAGTACACCGTGAGTACTGGTGTTTAACCTGTGGAAATACACGCTTATCTCTCTAGCGTCTCGTTAAAGTCTCCCTCTGTATGATAAACTCTTAGCGCCACATTTGATCATTAACGAGTTTATGTCGCGGTTTTTTTCGCTTTCATTGAAATATTCAAAAACAAATCAACTTAAGTTGAACTTTCACAAAAATAACAACATCTGTATCCATTCAGCCGCCAGGGAGGATCGAACTCCCGACCCCTGGTTTACAAGACCAGTGCTCTGACCACTGAGCTATGGAGGCCTCTTTACATACAGTTTGATTGACATGACTGGCTTATGGAAGTAAAACATACCAGATTGTTAATTGCTGTCCGTTCTAATTGTCTTCTATATTGGCTGAGATAATCTGGAATATTACCAGTGATGAGTTTCCCTATTATGATTTGTGATCCTGCCAGTCGTCACTCGGGATATCGATTGTACATGTACACAAGAATAAGCTACCTGGTGATTTACGTCAGTTGGCTGTGTATTGAATCAAGGGTCGTCTTCAAACCATCGCAATGCTCGTCCTTTTGCCAATGTGACGTCATTACATGATTCAAAGTTCATCATAGCCATGATCAAATATATGCAAGATTCAGCGAGGACACAGCTGAAAATAGCATGTTGTAAACGTTTCATAAAGTTAATGTTTCAACGTTTTGGAAAATAGCATGTTGTAAAATGCCGATGAAATTAGTTATTTAATTCTTTTGCATTCATACACTCGAACTTAACTGTACCCCGGTATCCTGTCTACCTATCATTCACCCATGTTTGACAGTTTTGTTGCTAATGTTTTTGTTGATGAACCGTCTCCGTCTTGTTACTCATTTAACTACACGAAACAAAACTTTTCGAACGGAGTTACACGGATTCTGATGGTGCTACACGATTCCGTCCAACACTTCGCTCCGGACAACAGTGACATTTTATCTAATGTAGCACTGATATTATTGTTACTTTAAATGACCGTAGAGCAATATGTTTAATGTCTAGAACTGCGTAAAGCCTCGATATGGATACGCAAAAAAAGTATTCGGATTGACATTTCTCCTACACCACACAAGCGATATATTGTATTATTCTTAGATGAACCCGCATTCAAACTAAAACTGATGACATATTGTTGAAAACTTTAACAAAGTACTACTCTTCTGGGGGGTCGACTAGAGAGAGATCAGTTTTCGTTCTACTCTCGTTCTACTCTCGTTCTTCTCGCTTTATTATATCATTTGAATTAATTTACAAAAAAGAATGGATTTTGAAAATTAAAATGTTTCAGTGCATTATGCTTTCCTTATTCCAGTTTTTTACTTGAACACATTTCTATCAATTTCGTATATCATACAATGAAAGCACGTTTATTTTCAGACTATCTTTTATCTCGCAATGTATCACTACATAATAATATGCACTTTTTGCTCCGATGATACATGTATGAAACATAGCAACAGCATAGTCAAAATCTGCATCTGACATCGCTTTTAAAACAAACATATCAGATTTGACCCTGGAATTCCGAAATAAGGGTTAGGGTATTCAAAATTATATTGTTTTGAAAAAATTGCTCTGACCTCATCTTTTATTTACAGTTTCTAGAAGAATACATGTACCCTATCTGTCATAATGTTAAAAATGGTTATTAAATCTTCAAATGATACAACGTTTGAATTACACAATGTACTATGTCACTATATGGATAGCGAAATTGAATAGGAATAGGGTTATATAGCGTAAAATGATGGTCTTAAAAATTAGATATCCTTGGCGCAAGAATT